ACGTCAAAATATTAGCGAAAATTCTTGCCAATCGTCTCCTTCCCTTACTCCCCCCTCTTTGATTAATTTAGATCAAGTGGGTTTCATCCCTGGCAGGGAAGCGAGAGACAATACCACCAAGGCCCTTAACCTCCTCCATTTTCTTCGCATATCTAATACTCCCGGGTTCTTTCTCTCTTTGGATGCTGAGAAGGCCTTTGACAGTGGCATGGGACTACTTGAAGGCATCTCTGCAGGTGATCGGTTTGAGAGAAAAACATGCTTAATTTCATTATGGCCCTCTATTCTGGCCCAACGGCACAGGTTCGGGCGAATGGCCATTTATCGAACGCCTTCCCTCTTGGGAATGGTACGCGTCAAGGATATCCCCTTTCCCCCGCTCCTCTTTGTACTATCATTGGAACCACTGCTGCGTAAAATCTGTTCGAACCTCGATATCAAAGGCATTATCACAGCAGCTCAAGAATACAAAATTGCTGCCTACGCGGATGACATTTTATTGTTTCTAGCGGATCCTCGGACCACCCTGCCCAATCTGCTGAAGGATTTTTCATTCTTTCAGTTTCTTTCAAACCTCAATTTAACTATTCTAAGTCCTACGCCCTTAATATCACTCTTTCTTCAGACATGGTATCTTTTTGCCAGTCACAATTCCCGTTTCATCGGGAAAGGGAAGCCCTCACTGATCTGGGAATCCAGCTCACACGTAACCTAAATGACCTATACGCCAAAAACTTTGTGCCAGCCCTTAGATCCATTCAGGAAGATCTAACTAAGTGGCACCAGTCATGCTTCTCTTGGTTCAGGAGGGCTGCTATACTAAAAATGATATCACTAGGCTTGCCATCTTTCCAGAATCATAGATTGGAATGCTCATTCGACCAACAAAGCTTGGGTGCATTTAGAAAACTCTTTTCTCCCCTTCCCCCATAGCATTGATTCTCTGGCTTCTGGCGAAAACATACCCCTCAGGCCCTCCTCATGCATCCACTGATTGGACCTACCCTGAAAATCTTCAGTTTGGCCTGCAAGTTTGGCCTCCATACGGACGCTCCTAACCCTTTAACCTCTCTCCGCTTAAACCCCGGATTTCCCCCCAGGCATGCACAAGGCCTTTCTCTTCAAACATTGGCCACATAGCCAGATGAAAGCAGAACACTTTTTCTAAAAAGGCCAACTAAAATCCTACTCCTCTTTGGTGGGTATCATGATGAAACCACACCTTCCCCTTTTGGGCTTACCTTCAAATTAAGCATTTTCTTCAATCTCATGCACATCGTCACAAAATGGATCCGCCCTCTTACCCCCCTTTGAATCTATTTGCTATAAAGCCGAACCCCAGAGGCATCTAATCTCATTAGTTTACCTCCTCGTAGTTGGTGATGGGAATCATAACTCACTCCCCGCCTGCCGAGCTTGGAGTAGGGATCTGGAAATAGATTTCTCCTCCTCAGACTGCGACCAAATGTTTAGATACTCCCACAAATGCTCGCTGAATGTTATCAACGCAAGAAAACAGATACAAACTGGGCCTCCCGTTGGTATAATTACCCCCTCTATAGAATCCATCGCTATAATCCCTCTCTGCCCAACAAATGTTGGAGATGTGGAGAACCCGATGGGTCTCTTCTCCATATCTGGTGGTCTTGCCCAACTATCCAGCCCCTCTGGCAGGAGGTTCACCATATATAACCTTGTCAGTATCCACTATACCTCTCGATTCCTCTCCGACCCAATTTCTCCTCCACTATTCCTCTCTTCCCAGACGCCTTTATTTCAAATCACTCGCTATGCATATGCTCAACGCGCTAGACTCTGTCTACCTGTTCTCTGGGGATCTACCCACCCCCCCTTCAATACGAGATTGGCTCACACGTTTGGGAAGAGTTGTGGAGATGGAGAAGCTGATTGCTTGATCACAAGATAACCCAACAACTATATTTTTCCATATCTGGTCTTGCTGGACTCACTTTCAAATGACCTCCGAATACCGTTCCTTATGAGTCTTTCCACTTGACTTTGTGCCGAACCTGCATTCCCACATTGTTTTCTTCATCACATCTCCCCTCGACCTTTTTAAGGTTGTCGAGATATTTTATCCTACCCTTTACGCTGATCGGAGTGTGACACCCTCATGTTCAATGCATACGAATGTTTGACTCATCTATGCTTATACTCTTTTCAGGGCTGCTTATAGTTGTTGTGTCCCTGGAGCTTCCACACCTGTAGTAATGCCTGCCTATACCACCAAATCCCCAGTTCCCTTCCTTCCCCTCTGACCCTCTCCCCCCCCCCCTTTTTTTTTTCTTCTCTCTCTGGCTCTCCATCACTCATCCTTCCCTACTCCCCTTCTGACTCTTTTCTTTTATCATTTCCATTAACTTAATTTCCTCCTTTCTATTTTGCATATCTTACCTTACTCTCATCCTTCCTACCCTTCCACTCTTTTCCCTGCCCATAGGCGACATACTCCCATAGCCATATGCAATTTGCAAATATGTGTCCTCCGATTCACAAAGACCTGTTCTCACACATGGGTAACCACTACTCGTAGCCCCGTTATACCTCATGGATGTTTAGAGCTCTCTATACCTCTGCACTAGCTTTCCTCTATAGGATGTACTGAGCTTCTACTCACATCCTCCGTCCCCCACCCTGCCTTTACACGATGTAAGACATATGGGGGAATAAACAACTGTTCTTGCCCGTCTTGTGGATTTCTAACGCCTTATTATGGTTTTGGGTATTAAGTGCCCTCACCCTTGTTGTGACTGTATGTCCTCTCCTCTAATCGAATATCATTAATATCATTAATAGTATGTGCGACATGAGATCTTTCTCTTTGTCTGTTTACTTTATCATCTCTCTATGTATGGTATTTTGTTATTTGTTTTACATTGCAATTTTCATTATCACATTGTATCTCTTTGTACTCATTGTATTTTTTGTATGCTCTGTGCTTTCCTAATAAACTTTATGAAAAAAAAAAGAATATAGCTGTCTTCCAAAATTCTAATTTAAAAAAGAATATAATAGAAAAGAAGATAATAGAATAGAATAAACTAGAATAGAATATAGATGTCTTTCAAATTTCATAAAGAATAGAATAGTATAAAAGAGAATAGAAAAGAATAGAACAAAAAAAAAGTAGAAAATAAAAGAATAGACTAGAAAAATGAAAATAGAATACAATAGAATAGAAAAAAATATAGCAATCTTCTGAAATTTTAATTTTGAATAGAATAAAACTAGCTATTCTTCACAATGAATTTGGATCGATTAAATATTTTCGATTATGAATTCGATTTCAATTTGAATTCAGTTCAAATCCATTGGAAAAATTTGATTCTGGTCAAAAGCGAATAAACAAAACAAATTTAGTTATGAATGCAAGAAAATGAAATTAGTAACTTAACGATTGATCCGAAATGAAACAAAACTAACTTTTTTGTTCTACACATGACTAGACTTCGGTGGGAGTGCCTGAAAATGTTTTTTTTTTTTTTTAAACATAAATAACTCTCTCCTCCTCCTAGCAACTAGCATTCTATTGGCTGAAAAAAAATGCCCAAGCCTGAATACATCTATAAGAAAAAAAAAAGAAATTACAGGAAAAGAAACACTTCAAAATTGCCTGTAAATGCTTTTCCTGGGGAGTGAATGCAGCCCAAGTATTTGGTGTTTCGGTAACATCAATCTCTGGATCTAATCTGAAAGATCTGGGATTTGTGGAAGGCAGTCGGAGCCGAATTCTGCTGATATCCTATTCTAAGGCTACTTACTTGGCATGGTAAAGCTGAGAGTCATTTCCTCCTCCAGGGATCTGTGGCTGACAATACAGAATAATACATCTCCGGGTTCAGGTCCAGTAGTCGGCTCCACAATCAGCTCACTGGTCTCACTAAATGTCCCATCGCTGTTCCTGAATATCACAGAATTATCTCTTTCCAAAGGGGAGTTCCTGCTGTTACTTTTACTGGATTTAACCCATCGGATCTTCACAGCTTCTGGGTAAAAATTGCTGACTTCACAATGGACAGATCCCGTGATTCCATCTTCAATCTGTCTATCATAGCTCAGCCTCATCTGCGGTTTAACTGTACAAGGAAAGACACAATTATTCATTATTTCTATACTAAAGGCTAATTCCACTTAAAGTGTTACTAAACCCACAACAGTACAATCAGTCTGTAGATGCTGTAAAGCATGCTTGTTATACTCACTGTGGAAACCTAAGGGGTTAATCCTCTCCATTGTGTAAGAATGCTGTTAGGTCCTGAATTCTCTGATCCTCTCCTTCTTCAAGTGCCCCCCTCTTATCGCCTGATAAGACATATCATGTGGAGACACTCTACACATGCTCAGTTAGGTGTATATTGCTAGAGATGTTTGTTTTTTTTTTTTCTTGGGAGGGTGCATGTGATCAGCAAAGGGCCAATCAGCACTGTCCGGACAGAGGTCAGGGGTACTGCATCCTCCGAGAGCAAAATGAAAACTCCTCCTACAAGGTTTAACCAGTGCTCAGGTAGACACTGATAGAAGTCACAAGACTGCTATATACTGCTGATGAGAAAAGGTATTTAGCAGATTACATTTACTAAAACAATTACATTTCCATGTTCTGTGTACTGTGGGAGTGCAGACGTAGTGAATGCAGAGTCCAGGGAGAGCGGATATAGTGAATGCAGAGTCCGGGGAGAGAAGATATAGGGAATGCCGGGTCCGGGGAGAGCGGATATAATGAATGCGGGGTCCGGGGAGAGTGGATATAGTGAATGCGGGGTCCGGGGAGAGCGGATATAGTGAATGCAGGGTCCGGGGAGAGCGGATATAGTGAATGCGGGGTCTGGGGAGAGCGGATATAGTGAATGCGGGGTCCGGGGAGAGCGGATATAGTGAATGCGGGGTCCGGGGAGAGAGGATATAGTGAATGCCGGGTCCGGGGAGAGCGGATATAGTGAATGCGGGGTCCAGGGAGAGCTGATATAGTGAATACAGAGTCCGGGGAGACCGGATATAGAGAATGCGGGGTCCGGGAAGAGCGGATATAGTGAATGCAGGGTCCAAGAAGAACGGATATAGTGAATGCGGGGTCCGGGGAGACCAGATATACCTAATGCGGGGTCCGGGGAGAGCGGATATACTGAATGCGGGGTCCGGGGAGAGCAGACATAGTGAATGAAGGGTCCAACGTTTAGATCCACTTTAAAGTGATACTGAACCCCGGACCCTGCATTCAGTATATCTGCTCTCCCAGGACCCTGCATTCACTATATCCGCTCTCCCCGGACCCCGCATTCACTATATCCACTCTCCCCGGACCCTGCATTCACTATATCCGCTCTCCCCGGACCCTGCATTCACTATATCCACTCTCCCCGCACCCCGCATTCACTATATCCACTCTCCCGGACCCCGCATTCACTATATCCGCTCTCCCCGGACCCCGCATTCACTATATCCGCTCTCCCCGGACCCCGCATTCACTATATCCGCTCTCCCGGACCCCGCATTAACTATATCCGCTCTCCCCGGACCCCGCATTCACTATATCTGCTCTCCCCGCACCCCACATTTACTATATCTGCTCTTCCCGGACCCTGCATTCACTATATTCGCTCTCCCCAGAGCCTGCATTCACTATATCCGCTCTCCCCGGACCCCGCATTCACTATATCCGCTCTCTCTCCGGATCCCGCATTCACTATATTCGGTCTCCCCGGACCCCGCATTCACTATATCCACTCTCCCCGGACCCCGCATTCACTATATCCACTCTCCCCGCACCCCGCATTCACTATATCCACTCTCCCCGGACCCCGCATTCACTATATCCGCTCTCCCCGGACCCCGCATTCACTATATCCGCTATATCCAAGAAAAAAAAACCTCTCTAGCAACACACACCAAACTGAGCATGTGTACCTAGCCCCCAAGGCTCTGTTCTATCAGGAGATATTTAGAAGACACTGGGAGAAGGGGAGGATCAGAGAAGACAGGATCAAACAGCCTTTTTACACAATGTGGAGGATTAACCCCTTAGGTTCCACAGTGAGTATAACAAGCATGCTTTACTGCATATACAGACTGATTGTACTGTTGTGGGTTTAGTAACACTTAAAAAAAAAAAAAAGAAGAAGAAATGCACACTTTTTGTTGTTTTTAAAAATGTGCATTTATTGGATCAGTGGATTGTGGGTGCAATGTCAGGCTCCTGCAATGCTGCCTAGAGCTCTCAGCCTGTACCCCTGTATGATGGGCAGACATTTCCTGAAACTGTAGGCAGTGTGAATGAACTATAGACGTGCTGATACCACATTGATACTATGGTGGCAGACGGGACTTGTAGTTTATTCATTCACAGTGTCAGAGCTTTTATGAAAAAAGAACAAACTTGTTACCTAATATGGGGCTGCTGAACTGCCTTTGGCATCCAAGACGGGCTGAATTTTTCTGGGATTTGACAAATACAGGTGTAACTCGAAAAATTAGAATATCATGCAAAAGTTCATTTATTTCAGTGCAGCAACTTAAAAAGGTGACACTAATATATGAGACTCATTACATGCAAAGCAAGATAGTTCAAGCCGTGATTTGTCATCATTGTGATGATTATGGCTTACAGCTCATGAAAACCCCAAATCCACAATCTCAGAAAATGAGAATATTCCATGCAATCAATAAAACACGGATTGTACATAGAACAATATCGGACCTCTGAAAAGTAGAAGCATGCATATGTACTCAGTACTTGGTTTGGGCCCCTTTTGCAGCAATTACTGCCTCAATGCGGCGTGGCATGGAAGCTATCAGCCTGTGGCACTGCTGAGGTGTTATGGAAGACCAGGATGCTTCAATAGCGGCCTTCAGCTCTTCTGCATTGTTCGGTCTCATGTCTCTCATCTTTCTCTTGGCAATGCCCCATAGATTCTCTATGGGGTTCAGGTCAGGTGAGTTTGCTGGCCAATCAAGCACAGTAATCCCACGGTCATTGAACCGGGTTTTGGTGCTTTTGGCAGTGTGGGCGGAGCCAAGTCCTGCTGGAAAATGAAGTCAGCATCCCCATAAAGCTTGTCCGCGGAAGGAAGCATGAAGTGCTCCAAAATCTCCTGGTAGATGGCTGCGGTGACCCTGGACTTAATGAAGCACAGCGGACCAACACCAGCAGGTGACATGGCTCCCCAAATCAACACAGACTGTGGAAACTTCACACTGGACTTCAAGCATCTTGCAGTGTGTGCCTCTCCATTCTTCCTCCATACTCGGGGTCCTTGGGCCTCTCCATTCTTCCTCCATACTCGGGCCCTTGGGCCTCTCCATTCTCCCTTCACACTCGGGGTCCTTGGTTTCCAAATGAGATCCAAAAGTTGCTCTCATCAGAAAAGAGGACTTTGGACCACTAAGCAATAGACCAGGTCTGTTTTTCTTTAGCCCAGGTAAGACGGTTCTGACGTTTGTTGTTCAGGAGTGGTTTGACAAGAGGAATACGATATTTGAAGCCCACGTCCAGGATCCGTCTGTGTGTGGTGGCTCTTGATGCACTGACTCCAGCCTCAGTCCACTCCTTGTGAAAGTCCCCAACACTTTTGAATGGCCTTTTCCTGACAATCCTCTCCAGGCTGCGGTCATCCCTGCTGCTTGTGCACCTTTTTCTTCCACACTTTTCCCTTCCACATAACTTTCTATTAATGTGCTTTGATACAGCACTTTGGGAACATCCAAATTCTTTTGCAATTCCCTTTTGAGGCTTTCCCTCCTTATGGAGGGTGTCAGTGATGGTGTCAGGTCAGCAGTCTTTCCCATGATTGTGATTCCTACTGAACCAGACAGAGAGACCATTTAAAGGCTCAGGAACCCTTTGCAGGTGTTATGGCTTCATTAGCTGATTAGAGTGGGACACTTTGAGCCGAGAATATTGCACCTTTTCACAATATTCTACTTTTCAGAGGTGCGATATTGTTCTATATACAATCCGTGTTTTATTGATTGCATGTAATATTCTCATTTTCTGAGATTGTGGATTTGGGGTTTTCATGAGCTGTAAGCCATAATCATCACAATGATGACAAATCACGGCTTGAACTATCTTGCTTTGCATGGAATGAGTCTATCTCATATATTAGCTTCACCTTTTAAGTTGCATTACTGAAATAAATGAACTTTTGCACAATATTCTAACTTTTTGAGTTTCACCTGTAGAAGTCTTGGATGGTGGATAATGAATCTGATACCACTCTTTATTCAAATATTGCTCCAGTCCTTGCAGAGATACTGGAGGCGGAAAACAAGCTCGAACCTTGTCCTCCAAAACTGACCATAGTGGCTCTATGATACTGAAGTCTGGCGACAGTAGTGCACACAGGGAAGGTGCAAGACTTAGTCAGCACGCTCACCAGCTGTGTGAATTGGAGCATTATCATCTTGGTAAATGTTGCTGTCTTCAGGAAACAATGTCTGCACCATGGGGTGTATATGGCTTGCCAACATTAGTACCTAGTTGCTAGCAGTGACTCTACCGTTCAAAGTGATGATGGGGCCTGCAGAACACCAAGATATGGCTGCCCAAACCATGATTGCGCTGACACCATGCTTTACCCAGGGGCGTATTTACCACTTGCCTTGGGCAGCATTTTTCAGGGGGCAGCGGCATTTTTCAGGGGGCATCGCCACCCCCCCCAGAAGAAGGGATGGAAGAAGGAACACACGCAGTATGTGGACCAGGTGGGATCCGAGAGAGGCTGCGGGCTGCTTGATGGTGTATGAAAAGCCTGACTCTTGTTCCCGGGGATGTCCGGAGCTATGAAGGTGAGTGTCTTCTCTCCCTAGCCAGGATGGGGGTTGTCCAGTGTGTGGGGGCTGGTGATAGTGGAAGGCTCTCTCGGGTGGGGGCTGGGCTTGTTGTTGGTCAATGTCAGGCTCTCTTCGTGGGTGAGGGGGTGCTGGTCGGTGTCAGGGTCTCTTCATGGGGGGGGGGGGGAGACGATGTTTGTGTTACCTACAGTAGCACAAAACCTAAATATGTCACTTGCACAAGACAGTTCTGGCCGTAAACTTGGGAAGGTGTTGGCCACACATAAACTAATCCGGTGGTTGGGAACAGTGTGAAGCTTGATTTATCAGACCATATTGCAGTCCTCCATTGATCGATAGTCCACCATTCATGGGTGCTGCACCGCTCTCTCCTCTTCTGAGCATTAATATCGGTCATGTCAGGAAAGGGCTCACTGCTGGTGGTACAGTGGCTCACCTGCTCTATGGGCTGCAGTACTGGGACTTACCAGCAGGTGCCTTTCAGGAGCCAGGATCTCACCTCCTGCAATCAAGCCATCACCTGAGGCTGATTGCAGGAGGTGTACTTAAACAGTCACTAGGCCTGTAATCAGTGCCTTGGTGTTTGTTCCCATGAGCCTCTGTTATCCTGTTTCCCTGAACCTGTCACCTGCTACCTGTGATCTGCTCTGTGTCCTGTCTTCCTCTGCGTTCCCATGCTTGATCTCCCGTGTATGACCCCGGCTAGCCCTGACTACGCTTTTATTTCTGTACATGTATATATTGGGTGAAGGTTTTTGGTTATTTGGGTTTTGTTTGTGTGACGTATGCGGTTTCAGACCCCCAGCCCTTCTCACCAACTCGTGACCAAAGGACTAGCCAATCTAAAACCGCGCTGTCACGTGCGTAACAATGCCAACGCTCAGCTGCACCCTGCACAAAGATTTTTCAGCTAATGGACCACAATCTATGTACCGCAGCCTGAGAGCGAGCGATTGTTACTGGGTCAGGTTAATTACGCAATTAACCCTTCACACTGCCACCACCACCTTTTTGTACAGAGTAGGAGGAAACTAACCAATCTTAGCAGTAACACTATGATGTTTGAAGAAGCGTCTGTATACACACTGTCACCGCAGGCAGATGTATACAGAAGTTTAAAAACACACAGTAGCGCTCTTCAGAGACAGGGATTCTTAGTTTGCATTAAAGAGCTTTAGAAACAGTTCAACACTTTTCAGAAAATAGGATTTATTACTAAAAAGGTCAAAATGGTGCAATAAAAATATTTACAAAAAAAATGTAGCAAATATAATATATATTATATATATATATATATATATATACATACACAGAGAGCAATACCACAACAGAGAGATAAAAAAGAAGTTTAGAGAGGTAGAATACTTGCCGTCAGCCTTGGTTTAAGCAGATCAAGGTCCTGAACAAAAGGGTACCGTTCTCCCAAGTTGGTTCCTGATGTTTAAAAGGGAGAATTCTTCATCTTCTCTCTTTCAGGCCTGACAGCCCCTTTTCTAGTCCTCTAGCAGGGGGTGTCTACTGAAGCCAAGGGCCAATTGCCTCATTTGGGGAGGGGGGTTTATGAGGAGCCCCAGGCTAGAACCAAAATCCCTTGCAAGTTATACCAGGGTCAATAACCTTCCCTAGGTACATGTAGCATCCTATCCACTGGCAGGATAATATGCAGAATGATATTCTGAATGTCCAGACATCACATATGACATATCTGCCTGTGACAGTTAAGGAGATATCGCTTTCTGCTCTTGGGTAGACGTAATCTAGGGGTATAAGGTATCAGGTGACTTGTATTAAAATGACCTCTCTTGTGTATATATGTCTTGTTGTATAGTATGTATTGCCTACGAGAAATTACGAAATTGTATGAAAAAGTGTTTTCACATGGGATGCAGGTTTTACTGT